ACATATAGAGATTAAGATCACCTAATCAAACTCAACATCTCCCTGTTTCGCAGTATGATAATGCAGAGAAAGTTCTCTCTTTCCAACTATCGTAGAAATAGCCCGTCCTATCAAAGACTTGTAAAGAAGAGAAAGGCCATCTTTTTATGTCACTAGCACCAAGTCACTGGTAAATAGCATAAGCAAATGCTTATGAGGAGGTTGACTTTTGCACAATCAATCAACTTTGCATTCAAGTGTATGAGCACAGCGAACAAGTGCATCACGGAAGTGGGTGCAGGGTATTATTTTGATTGAACTTCTTTCAATACCCTGATGCTAAAATCGAGTTAAGTTCCCCCTGCTCTCTTTGGAAGTGGTTAAGAACTGGCAGAAGGTTTATGAGGTAGGAAATAAAGATTAATGCCTATAGGACTCTAGAGTTACTACTGTCAACATCTTCACTACCTGAAGTCTTTCAACACATGGTATACGCACTCATATATGGACAGAGAGAAGGTACCAGGGAGATAGTTCTCTAATCTAAGTTTGGGACCAAGAGTAAGATTTCAGATACATGATTCATTCTGTGATATATGTGTTGCCTTTCAGGAAGCTACAAGACCGCTGACAAAAGGAACTTTACTGTGGAAAAACATCAATACAGTTGGAAAAGTTCTCACAGAACATACATCAACTATTGCAACCACAAAGACAATTTATAAAAAAAAACCAAAACATGAACAGTTCAGAAAAGCTTCTCATTTAGAAGATTAGAAAACCAATGATTCACCAAACTCAATGACAGTTCTTAGCATGAGTAGTATGGCTGAAATAGAATCATTATTTATTCCAAAAGCTCTCAAATGTTCCTGATCCTTCTTCGCAGATGCCATTTTTTCTTCTAGAAATATTATGTATTATTGATACTGGTTAGGACACCTATAATTAGTCTCAAATGGTGCTATTTCTCTACGCATTTGTTAGTTCTCTTACACAAACAGTAATTTTGGCACACAATCTCAATGGCAAGACTTCATAGTATTCACTCAATTACAACTTTTGTCAGTTTTAACATCTTACCTGTGTAACACCCAGAGGAGACATATCAGAATGTTTTTAGACCCCCTAAGGCCCGTGTATCTACAGTCATGATAGAACATTCAATAACTTTTTAAAAGACATAGAAAAAATAGTGCAAAAGACTGTAGACATGCAGTTTCTGCAGCTTTAAAGTAGCATAAGAATGTTCACACTTGGCTTAAACCAACATGGAAAAAAAAAAAAAATCCCAATCCTTTGCTTAAACCACAGTTGAAACAGTCTACTCTGTGTTTAAACTAGCCAATTTTAAAAATCTTAATTTAAAATAGTGGTACTGTGTGTAAGCCTTCATTTCATAGGCCACACAGGCCATTAGACCTTAACAGGTCTACTGCGACACCGACTACAATGTTGTTCAGCTGGTTTTAGTAAACTGAAGACTGTAGCTGCAGATGTATTAAAATAATATTCATTTTGATCAAATGTAATTATTGCTGGAATTTCATCTCACTAACACAATTTCACTAAGGAATTACTCTGCCCTTTTACTGACGAAGTTTTTTACTATTGGAGATTCACGCTAGCACAGCTTCTAGTGTCTGAGTTGCTCCACCTGTAAGACAACTCACACACACTGGTTCATCCTCTGTGCAAATCACCCAAAGGCCGAAGCCTTCAGGAAATGTAACAGGAAAAAAAAAAAAAAAAAACCACAAATAAGACATGAAATTATAATTCAGAAGAGTACCAGGGCAAGACTAGAAGAAGATCTCTCAAAGTTTCAAAATAAAGATCTTTATTTCAAAATAGTGTTTGAGAATAGCACATCCAGTTGATATAAAATACAAATAGCAAGTTACCATTTTTTCGAATGGGCCAGTTTGCAGAACTATATATTGAAACACTGTACAAGTTCACAAGAACTATTATAAAATAGACAGTTAAGTTCTGATGTTTTAATTTTATTTAAACTATGTTTTCACATTTGCTCCTTCTAATTCTTCTTGTTTTAATTACACATGGTGCTTACAAGATTGCCTATAGAGTGAAAATTACAGAACAGCATTTAAGAATATAAATATAGAAAGGAATTACTTAAACTACATACTAATATTCTCTGCTACAAAGATACATTTTACAAAAGTGCTAATATCTCTATGACAAACAGTAGCAGACTACATTTAAATGTCAAAGAAATCACACAATTTTTAAATTTTTTCAATTGTCTGTAATACTTTGATACTTCTATTCACTATGAGGGTTAAACAACACTATTTTCACTTCCTAGTATTTCACAAATGAAGTGGGAAAAGTAATATATCTGCGTATGTGTGCGTGTGCACGTCTGTGAGAGAGAGGTTGTACACATACACATATACGCATCAACAAAGTTCTTGTAATTATTATTTGTATTTTAACAGTACTGGAAGTAAATACTTAATAGCAAAGACATTTCCAAGGTTTTCATGATTTCGATAGATCAAAAAACCCTCTGAGTTCCTGTAAGTAGAAACGAGGGTTTGTGTAGGGCAAATTGTATGGATAAACTTCTACACAGATTGGCATTTTCTTTTTTTTTCTTTTTAACTGTATCTTTCTGTGGTAAAAGTAATTTTTATTAGCATCTGGTATTCATTAAAAGCTTGGTGCAACGGTGCAGTTTTCCAAGCACAAAACTGGAACTGCTCTGACAGGGCACAGACACTGGGGCAGGACAGGAGACTGGAAGTCCTCTTCCCCATCCCCAAAAGCACAGTTGGACAGCCATAATTCATCTCTCCATGACCAGGACATGAGGAAGGACAGTTTATGGTGCTGCCTAGCCCCAGAGAGCATGTCCCCATCACCATGGTGTCAACCACAGAACTACACTGGGCAAAGCACTGTCTACGCTTTTTCCAAGGTGCATCAAGTCCCAGTGCTCTCTGTGATGCCCCCAATTTCCCCAGAGGCATTATGCCTTACAAAGGCAAAATGCCTCCAGGCACTGCCACTCAACCAAGGCACCTCTTCCCCCTTCCCAGTGTGGTTCAGACTTTTAGGAGTCATAATTGAGCCCTGTGGGCCTGATTCTGAGCTCAGGGAATTTAGCAGTTTAACTATATGATTCCTTATTAGCCTGCCTATTACCATAATATCTTTGTGCTCTCTAGCTGGAGCTAAACCAATGGAAAATTCTGACATTAACGAAAATGCATTTAGTTTATGCAACACAGATCTGAATCTGGCCCAATATACAAAAACCAAACCAAACCAAACCAAACCAAACAAAAAACAAGATGAACAAAAACACCATGGTAAGAATCAATTCTTGTAGTAACTATGAAAAAACAGGTAAGAAACCCTCTAAGTAAGTCTGCACTGTATGAGAATACACCAGAATATCGCAGATGATAAAGCAAAACGTAATACCTCCCAGCTCCCTAGTATAGTTGAGGATTCGGCTATGTTACCTTCAGTGATAACTTGCAGTAGTAGGCACTACTAGTCAGTGTTCACAGGGAGAGAAGCTTTGGTTCATACCAGACCATTTGTTGACTTAGCTTCACACTCCTGTGATCTTTAGCTTGTCACATTTGCATAAACTGAATTCACTACAGCGGAAAGAGACATTTATGGTCAATTCACTCTACAGAAATATGCTATAGGCTATTGATGACTCTTGTAACAAGACCTAAATTTACGAGATCCAACAATCTACAAATGGGAGTGTAGATAGGAAAGTTTAAGTATGTGAGATCAAGATGTGTAGGTGGTTTACACTGAAAAGTTGATGAGCTACAGACATGGACATAAGAAACTAGTAAGAAAATGGTACCATTATCCCCTAAATCTGGGAATGACATAAACCTCATTCTGTGTTGGACCAAATTCTTTTCACAATTATAATGACAAAGAGAGATATTTCACAGAAAGCCTTAATCATATAATAGGGAAAAAGTTGCCCACTAGATCCTAACTGTATTTTTCAAACATTTTAAATCCCAATCCTTTCATTTTTAAAGGAGATCATACATTTTTAAAATTTCATTCTTTTTACAGTTATTTTAAAATAACACTTAAAACATATCTGAGAATAAACATTTTTGCATTTCCTTCTTATGTTCAATAACAGAATTTCTTGATCAAGTCAGTTTTAATTTGGTCTTTATACCCCATTTAAATTCTGCCATCCTCTGTGGATTTTTCTCAAACAGTGAAGAAATAAGTACTAAGTTATGTGACACTGGCTCTAATGCCCCAAACACTGACAGGGACACTTAATGTCAGGCTTAGATTCTTGAGTTAAATTCTGATAATCATAGAATCATAGAGTAGCTAGGGTTGGAAAGGACCTTAAATAATTTCCTTTTAATAGCCAAAACTTGAAGTTTCATTAGTCTATTAGTCTGTTAGTCTAAGGATATATTTCATGACTACACAAATTTCTGAAGTCTCTTTCTATAAAGAAGCATTTCAAGTAATATTAGTAGTGAAGAAAAATGTAAGTTCTTTGTTTTGTCTTGATTTATAACAATGAAAAGTTCACCCATGGCAAAACTTACATTGACTTTAGTTTGCCAAATCTTCCCATAGTATCAATACTGAGATACTCAAACCAAAATATTGCCAACGTGACTATTGTAGCAAAACCAACGGTAGATTTCTGTTGTTGACTTCTGGATTAAGTTTAAAACAAGAGAGCAAAGTTGCTTTCAATCCAAAGAGATTGACATAAAGTTATTTTGCTTTCAGAATGCCTGTAAAGGCATGTTATGCATAGAGGCATTTGAGTGTTTAAACATTAAACTAGGTAAAAACAAATACTTAAGTCTTTGCCCTGTAATCTCTTCTCTGACTAAAATCTGTCACTTAATTGAAATGGCAATTTTGCCCTCATGCAGCCTGTGGCAACAAGCCTATCATTCCGTTTCAATAAAGTCTTCCATTTGCAAAGCTAAAAGGAAGCTGGAATGTAGCTTGAGTTTCACATATAAAACTATACAATTTGTGTTATAATACAGATTTGAGGACTAGTTTAGAAAAAAATATTTATATATAGGGAATTAACAGTGCAATACCAGTTGGTTGCATGAAAACCTTACCTTGTCTTTCTTCAAATGTATTTAAAGAAAAGCTCTCCAGTTTTATAGAGAATAAAATAAAAAGGGATAAACATTTCATGATGGGAAGCAGATCCCACAGCATTCCATGCAGATCTCTAAGCAATCTGAAGATTCACAACATGCGTCCATTATGCCACAGTCCATATCACATGGGCAGTTACAGTCATCTCCCATCTCGTCCCCACAGCAGCAGCAGCAGGCCTCCGATGTGCAGATGCCACAGGATGCTTGTCCCAAAACAATGTTACAGAGGGTGAGAAATTCACAGAACAAGCAAGCCAGGATACAGTGAACACAGCAATCTTCGTATGTACCAGTTCAGTAGCATGTCATATACAAACAAACAAAAGAGAAAAGAAATCATTAATATGTTATTCTAAATCTAGATGTATCATAACATACAAAATAAGTAGCTGAAAGACAATAATTCAGAATAGACATAATCTAGCACCACAAAGATGTTTCCCATCTTCAAGGTCACTTTTGCAGCCTAATTCATCGCCCAATTCAGTTTTGGTACAAGTTTCCTTTTTGCCACTTCACTTCATGCAAATCTTAAGCATCAGCTTAGATCCATTTCTCCAGTCATTTATTATGCAAAATATCCATTTTTATTTCCTTCAGTCATAACTTCTGCAGGCCCACAAAGTGATAAAAAAAAAAAATAATCAAAATCAGCTTATGAAGGAAACTACCTAAAATTATTTCCAGCCTCTCCCAGTACATCTTGCCCTTCTGAATTTCTCTTGTGGGCTTGCTACTTATGAAGAAATAGAAGGGAGTTGCCACATTTTTTGCACACCTTAAACCAGCATAACAGCATATTGTATCTATTTTTGCACTTTCAACAATATGTAAAACATTCGATCAAAACAGATTTTTCTGCTCTTTTCGACATAATTCTCTTACCAATCCTTTTAATGTACTATAATCTTCAATAACTACACTTGAACATCAATATCCATCTGTCATAAGTACTATTAAATTACATGAGATAAATCAGGTGATCCACAAACTGTCTGCACCCAAAGAGTAAATATATAGAATAACTTCAAGCAATTAATACATCCATAAGACAAGAAAACACAAAGATTGGAACTAAACACGTGTCGCTGAAAAGGAGACTGCAGGAGTAAGCGATATACTCAGTTATTCTCACTCTCCTTCACTAGTAAGCACATAACATACAAATTTCTATGTATAAACATATTTAATCTGTAAAAGGCAGTGAACAGTCTTCCAGAAATAAAATAAAAACTTAAAAATACAAGAAATGTTCAGGATCTAGAATCAGTGTTCTTTCCTAGCATCAGCTTTCCTTCTTTTTACTGCTTACGAGCCTTGAACTCTTCTAGCCACAGACAGTTGAAGACTGGGAAAACATCCAGGGGAAAATATCCTGCACCAGGCTCATCCTTTCTCTGTCCCTACAGTCAATCACAGGTATCTGCTATGAGAGGCCAGTAGGAAAGAGCATATTGAGCTATATGCGTAATTGGTCTGACTATCTACAGACATTACAGTTCACAGGCTGGAGACAGGGGAAGGGTTGCAATTACTCGTAACAGTAATACGATTACCAGGACTCCTAAACAGATGCATAAACTTCAAAAAATGATGCAGTAGCTGTGGCAAGTGACGTGATTGATTCGAAGTACCTCTAACATCACAGAAACTCTCACTGCAGGATAGTGTAGCGATGACTTTACACGAGCAAGTGCAAGTACTAAAGCAATGCAGTGGTAGTCTCAGACCTGCAAAACGTGTCCTAAACAGCAAAATAACTACCTGAGCTCTTGGCCCACTCTAAATATCACATTAGTGGGGATTCATTTCTTTACTTCCTACACTACTTAGACCACTTAGATCACGTGCTAGTTTGGGAATACCTGTACTGCAATGTGCTCAGAATCATAATATGCAAAATGAACCCATATGTCCAAATGAAAAAAAATGGAAATGTCAGGAAAAGCAAGAAGAAAGAAAACAACACTCCCCCCCCCAAAAAAAACAACCACAAAACAAGACAAAACCAAACAAATAAAAAACCCAAACACAAAACAAAACAAAAAACAAACAAACAAAAAAAAAATCACACAAAAAAAGCCAAACAAACAAAACCCCCAAACAAACAAACCTCAGAAACTGCTTACTACTATGCAGGATGCAAAACTGACAGGAAACTCCAGGTAAGATTGAGCTGTTTTTAAAGAAAGTTGTTGCTTGTATTAAAAGGCTGCTTTTTCCAAAGAAATACTGTCACTAAATAAATGACCTTCATAGCAAATGCAGAAGATATGAAATAAAGCTGAGGAGTATCAGTTCACTGAAGAGGACCAAAGCCAGAGCGATAGCGATTAATTAGCTGGTTGTCATGGAGATGGTGTTAAATTTGTTCAGGTACAATCTCCTTTCAGATTTTCTTTTAATATGAAGGAAAAAGATAAAGAAGCCAAGAGTTCTACCTAAGAAGCCTTCATATTTGAGGAACTGAGGTTTTTACTATTTTGCATCTTTAAAATACAGCTAGAAGAAGATAACGCCACAACAAATTTTGTTTTATGAAAGGGGTTGTTTTTTAACCAAAGGACCATAAAAAACCTTCACGTGTATCAGTATTGAAAATAATGTTTAGAAAAATGTTGACTGCTTCATGAAGGGATATGTATAATTGCAGGAAGAGAAATAAACGGCCACAAAAATTATAATACACATTAATTATTGGGCAAGAGAGAGAGTTACAGGTTAAATGAATGGGACTGCACTCAGAAAGCACTTTCTGGACCCACAGAAAAAACTTCACCTTCCTAATCTAAAAAACCCACAAAATCAATATGCAGAAGAAGAGGTTGTGCTGATTTAAATAAAGGTATTTCAAAGGTAAAAACTATGAAAACTGGCCCAAGACACGGAAAGAAATTTTGGCCGTTAGTGCTATGATGAAAACTCTGTGGTAGGTCTTTCTTTCCGTCTCTTCTTCACTGACTGAAACACTAAAAGGATTTATTTACCTACTGTTTATCTTATTTCCTTCTCCCCAGATGGCAAAATTAATTTTTTTGCACACAATAATTTAATTATATTCAGAAAATCTCTATATAAGAACTATACTTAATCCACACAAACACTTAACAGAGAGATGTCCTTTACTGCTCTCTTCATTCTTACAATGACTCATTTGTACAATGAACATAAACTTTGACCCACATTTCAAGGACAAACCCGAAATAATCTTGCTTTTATGTTCTTCATGTTATTGACTTTTAACAGCTACCCAGGTAGCCATTATTTAACACATGACAAAGCATGCAGTTACCTAGTCCTGCCTAACTTGCTGAATTCAGAATCATGACTCTAAAGGTCTAATATATTTGGATAAAATGGGTGGAAGAATAATTTCTTCCATGTATGACTCCTACTTCTTAGCTTCTTATCTTCAGCAGCAACTGTAAGGAAAAGATAGTCACTGGGGTTTTTTTTGGTAATAACCACCTATCTACATGCTACAAAAAACACACATCCTTCTCTATTACCTGTATTCCTACAGCAACCTGTCAGTTCCACAGAAAAAATTATGCAGCTAAACCCCGCTTCCTTTCGTTGCTGTTGCAGGCTGTCATGATCAGTGACATCCAGCCACACAGAAGATGCTACATAAAGTTCACTCCAAAAGAAATGATCTCAAGTTTTTCATTACCGTGTTGGAGACCCCTAAAATATATTTCACTGCTTTTACAAGAATTTCTAATAATTCTTTCCTGCTTCCAAGACCAAAGAGTCTATTTTAAATTACAGATTAGTTTAAATTTCAAAACTATTTTAACATACTAAGAATAAAGACTATACTTAACTTCCACTCTTTGACCTCACCATATCAAAATTCTAATAGTTTTTGCACATGAGTGAGTCATGGAACACATTAACCCAACTGGAACTAAACTTGATCTATATATTTGGGAAGAAAAAGTAAATTGGGTGATCTTAATGTCTGACAACATGTTTTCTGGAAACTTTGAATATATTTTACTATTTTATGATAAAGAAATGACATAGTAGTATCAGTTATGACACTGTATTACCGTAAAGAGATGCCAGCTTAAAATTATTTCTTTGCTTTTTTTTTTTTTGAGAATTAGTTATCCTCACACTTCTTTTCCCATTAGATATACTAATGCAATTAAGAATTACAGGTGTGCCTTTATCAAGGACCAAACTCCATCTGCCTTGATGTTCATGATGTAGTTCTGTTGATAACACTAAATACTTCCACAGAGAAAGAACTTAGTCTATGTCTACCATATAAGCCTAGCATTAATGAAGATAAGCTTTTCCTTAGGACTTCCATACTACACCACATGAGTCTCAAATTTCCATTGTCCTTCAATTCTTCTATTATTACACTTCTCTCTGTTTAATGGAGGAATGCTGCACTACAGATCAGCACTATACAAAAGTAAAGACATGCAGTGTCAAACACTGTACAGAAGTAAACTTTATAACCCCAAAACAGTACATCTGCTTTAGTTCCTTCATCAAATGCATTTAATTTCATCAAAGCACACTATCACATTTGTTGACTGTGACCAAAAACTATGTTGAATGGCATAAATTACAAAAGGCTTGGTTTGTAGGCAGTGATAGTATAATTTATTAGAGCAACTTACAGTTGGTGAAAAAAAGATGTACTTTCAGACATGCAAGCTTATATTTAATTATCCTTTCATTTAGCCTGGGATGAAAGTTCGACCTGAAGTTAAAAGGGTCATCCCATGCAGCATTTTTAAATACCGATGTAAGTAAAGCTGTTTCCTTAGTCCTTTGGCACATTCTCAAAAGTTACAGGTTTGTTATGGAACTTCATCAAAACTGTTAAACAATGCCAAGGCAAACAGAAACCCAACCAACTTGTCCAAGGTTTTGCTGCTTATATTGTACACACATCCAGCTACTTTGTGCTGATTTAACCAAAGAGCATACCTACAGTACATGTAACATCTACTTTGGGTTACAAATGTTACAACAGACAATATCCAGACAAGAAATAGCCTAAAATCCCTTAAACTGTTTACACACATTTAATCAAAGTCCAGAGGGCCCTAAGACTTAAGTTGAAAACAGAGCACTGCACCAGCTACTAAGGAGAAAAATAACTGTTACAGCTGAACCCAGGATACCCCCTTGTAACAGCTATGCTCATTTCAGCAAAAGAAACAATATAAACAATTAAACAACTTTACATTTTGTCTATGTCTTTAAATATTTGCTTGTGCACACCACTCTTTAGTTCCAAAATTTTTACATA